CATCTCTCAGTTTGTCATTTACAATACTCCTTGACTGGTTGATCTACAGAGGATGTTTCAAGCAACTCGAGCTTTGCGTTCCTGAGTAGTTTGCAGAGCAATTTGTTAGTAGACGGTCTGAAAAACCAAGTGGGTTGGGGACATGTCTGGAACCGATACGCTGGACCTTTGAGCTGTCCAAAACAGCCAAACCAATGCGCATTCACGCCACTTGCACCTCCCGGTTGGTGGGACGGTTTATGGCAATCGCCCATCCCACGGGACACTCGTAGGCTTGCGGCTTTCGGCATTGATCTTTCCGGGTTTGGTACGGTTAACGAAGATCGGTTCCATGCCTTTTGTAGCACCAAGAAAGAGTACTTAAACACTGTAACAATCATTTAGCCACTTCTTAAAATGCTTTTGGTCTCTTTGTTTTAATGCAGTCACTAGTTTTTATTCCTCAAACCTGTTTTCCCTTCTTGAATTGAACCGGCCTTTTTATAGTAAAACCGGACCCAAAGCGAACTAAGCAAACCGAAAACTAGTAAAACCCAAACCGGCCTCTTGGTTGTCTTCACACAACTAATACTTGGCAAACAACATCCATGATGCAAGCTTTCATGGTGCAAACACCACATTGACAAAGTCCCCATTGCAGTCAGATATTATCTATGGGGAATTTGGTGTTTGAACCATGAAAGCTTGCCAAGTTTGCATAAACTTTGTCCCGGCATAATGGAACATTTTTTAAGAAAATAAACAAATTACATTTTAGGTGACGAGTCTTGTCAATGGATGAACTTTGTAAAAAAAAATATGGTTCGAGATTAACATTTACTACTTACTTATTATGGTGACTCTATCCAAATATCAATGATTAATGTATAAACATTATTTCCCAAAGAAGGTTTTTTTGTCGTCGCTGTCTACAATAAGGTTTTGGTCAAATATATATGGCAATTATTGGGTCGTGTCGCTTGCAACTCTTGATGATGTTCTTCGCAAGATAGTTTTAAAAATTGAAGGGAATCTTTTATCAGTTTATCTATTTCACCTAATTAGTTAATTCAATAGTTTTGGTTATTAGTTTATTGTGTTCTTTATTCTAAAACATCCACCAAACAAAATAAATTAATATTTCGAAAACACTATAAATTTGTATTGGCTCTTAAATAATTTATAAACTTATCTTAGAAACATTTTCTAATACATAAATTTGTGATAGTTTGAGTAGGTATGAGAATTCCGAACTTTCATTGAAAAAACAAGAAAAAGCTCCATTGATGATTTTTATTTTGAGTTCAAAGTTTTTATTGAGTTCAAAGTTTCTAATACATATTGAGTTCAAAGTTTTTAGTTTGGAAAATGGATTGCATGTTAGTGCATTATGAGGTAGCTCTTTTTAAGACGGAGTTAATGAAAAAACGTTCCATTATGCCGGGACAATAATAGTCTCAACCAGACCTAGTTGCCCTCGCTTCGGGTGGTTCTCCCTTCATCTATAGATTCAATGGGTCTTGGACGGTAAAGGGAGCCGTGTGTGGAGCTCGATGGATTTTCCAATTAGCATATATGAAAGTAGAGACAATCTTCGGACTTTAAAAGGATACAAATGGGTTAATTCACCACTTCACTCGAGAATGCAATAGATGTGACAATATTGATAAATAGAAAATATAATATAATAATTAGAGAGTAGTATTGATAATATTTGGACCATACTCCA